ATATATAAAGTTTGGAAATAATTATGATATAAAGGTACTTTTAACTCGAGTTATTACTATTAAGTAATAAAATTGTATAATTTAATTTTTCTTTGTCGAAAAGTGTTTCGAAATATTTTAATATATATGTGAAATTTTTTTTTGTATTATATAATTAATGCTAAGATAAATTATTGATAAGAAGATAGATTAAGATAGATTAAACATCATTAAGTGTTATCTTTGTAAGGAATATTTTACAACGAAATTGAAAAATTTTGTTTTTTTATCGAAAAATAATTAGAATACAATATTATACAATTTATTATACAATTCGTTGCATTTGTTATACATATATCCATTTAAATACATTTGAAAATAAAACTCTTGTGAATGAACTTTTTTCACAAGTATATATTATTTTGAAAATATTTTTTACTCTTGTACAGTCAATACTCTTCTCAAAAACAACTGTTTTTTTTTTCAAATTTTTTTCTTTTTTTTTTCTTTCAATGTGGTATCCTATAAAAAATGCTCTGGAAAATAATTTTCAAAAGTTTTATTATCAATTATATTCACATCCTTCATAAACCTTATGTCCATTTAAGAGTATCTTTAAATTTTGTATCCAGTGGCAGAGGAAATAGATTGTGTATTCTCTGTTATTGTTATGTTGTTTCTCTCATTGTTCATTTCTTTCAAGTTGTGAACGTTTGTTCTCTTCATTTGTTTGTTAATCGATTTAATAATTAACTATTCTGAGAATATGATACTGTTTCAAAGTTTATACAAAATTATAGAATATTGTTATATATCCAATTGAGAACAATTTAAAAAATTCACTAAATTAAACAATTGAGCAATGTTCTTGAATAGTTACTCTCAACACAGTTACTCCATTTGCAAAAATATTCTTAATCTCAAATATATTCGTTACCTTTAATTCGTTATTAGTTATTATGAGTTATTATTGGTTTGGATCCTTGCCAATACTAGCAAGAAATGTTTAATTTATTTCCATACGAGTTCTCTAAAGCATTCTAAACGTATGTTTCTTTATCTGTACAACACATGTACAATTTGTCGTTCCTTTATCCTTTTTCTTGGCGACAATTCACCTTTCTACTGTTTCAATTTAGCATAACATAAGACATTCGCATGTACCTTTTTATATTCTCATCTATTCTTTCCTTGACAAATACATATACTATGCATTCGTATACTATAGTACGTTTAAACAGTCATAACTTCTTTTGTAATAATAGTTTAAAAGGCAAGCATATAATTCAAGAAATTAACTCAATTAATTTATCTATTATACAGAAAGGAATGAATATATATATTATATTTTATTTATACATTCAATTTATAATTTGTATTATGTGTAGATTTTATTTCTTTTCATTAATTTGTTTATAAATAATTATGTATTATCTCGTGAATGATAATTGCTCTTCTTGATTAAAAATAATTACTATCTAGTTTTTTTTTATATATTTTATATATATATGCAGAGAATTTGAAGATTTTGAACTTCATTTTGAAATTCTTTTCTTTATATGTTACCGTTCAATCTTACTTTTTAAGATATTTGCAAAAAAAATTACTATTATCAAAATTTTATTTTATATGTATACGTCCCTAGCTGGCCATCATTTATTTATTGTTCCTACAAATGTATAATCCAATGTCCAAATTCAATAGATTTAAAACATTTTAAGCTATAATATGAACAAGTAAATTTTTAACTAACTCACCCGTTATATGTCTTAGTTGCTGCTATGGCCATATGTACATTAACAGAGGATAAGTAGCGGTCGCATACTTACGCACATGCAACCGCGGATATATAACAGAAATTCTACGTAATAACGTTCTATTTTTATTTTAAATATCTTTTCGAAAATTAAGACGATGAATATGTATGGAAGACGTATGGAATAAAATTGTTCAAAATATATACTTGCATAACATATCCAAAAAACATTGAAATCAGTGAAAATCTCCGCCTATTCGAGAATAATGCCACATATCAATGGCCAGAAAGAAGAAACACAAGGAAGCCACAATTGCACTATATCTAATGAGTTAAAAAATAAATAATAATAATATTGTGATATTCGCTCCATACTCAAACGAGCTGAAATTTTTAAGAATAAAACTCCTGAATATAAAATTTTAATTTTCTTCGATACATCTATCCGTCATATTGGATATTTTTTGTTTTAAAGAAACAATAGATAAGCAATCACATTAAGAACATATACGTAAAATTCGATATGTTATACCAAAAGTTTTTCATTAACATTTCGAAAACTGATAAAAGATCCGAAGCAAAAATTTCATTCAGCTCTTCTCCTTCCCAATCAACTTCACTTCGTTTCACAAAACATGAATTGCAAAACACATTTATCCTCCTATATCGAATAATTACCAGTTTTCTAACCTCACAATTCGTTCGTTTCAGATATGGCGCAATCGTGGTACTTCCCAGTGTTCGATTCGCAGTGTCTCTGGCTCAACCGTATAAAACACAAGTGTCGTGCAGAGGGCTTGCGCGTGCTCTCACCGCGAAGATAACGAACAGTCTGTATTCTCGTTAGCAGCCGTGGCAGCCGTTAAGATAACAACGAGACACGACACTCGCAGCGAGCCCGTGGCACGAAAAGAAGATTTAAAGTCGTCTTAGGATAGTAGAACTTTCATAAATTAGTCCCTAGAGCGTAGAAGTCGCCACCATCGACGTCGTATTGCGTGGGACGTTGGTCGGAGAAAGGGCAGGCCGTCATTTTCATTTCCCTTAACCGTGAAACCGTAACCTCGGGCGCGAATTAAATCCACCGTGAAACAACGAGAACTAACCCTCTTTTCACGGAGGTAATTAACGTGCCGGTAACTGGTTTAAAGGTTCGTTAAATTTTATAATGTTAATGGAATGCGGTGTCGAACATGACAACGCAGCGTAAACGGTGTACGCTCGATCGGTAACCATGATACCGGTGCATTATCGTTGAAAAAATTTCACGGGTGTATCGATGGCACTAAACACTTTTTTTGCTTCTAGGAAATTTTTACTAGGAAGGATTTTATGAAGAGTCTGTGTATTGTTCGAGGAAATCAATCAGATTTAAATGATTTTTTTTAAATTATGATAAAAAGAAAAAGATTTTGGAAAAAAAGGAAAAAGGATAATTGTAGTGTGAAATATTTGTTATTACGTTTTTTGATGAAGAAAATTTTGTGAGAATTATAAAATATTGTAAAAATTATGAATTTTAATTGACATTATTACGTTTATATATTTTGATCTGAATATCATTATAAGGAAGAATTCAATTAATGTAAATCTAATTTTTTTTAAAAATGATTTATATTTCAGAAACTCCTTTAATATTAAAAATTTTACTTGACAAGTCAAGTACTGTCACTACTTTCATATAATGTAAGTAATAAATTTGTTTTTATTATATACTAATATTTTTATTAGTATTGCTTTTCCTACAATCAAGTTAAAAATCTGAATTATTCGTTTTTAATGTTTACTAATTGATTTGTAAATCTTCCATATACTCATAAAGTATATATATTCATAATTCAATCTAGTAATCGTTAAAAATTTTGTTAATTACAAGATTATTAAATTTAAGTTAATTTCAAACATTTCTTTCCTTTAATTTCTATTCTTATAATTTTAAACAATCGTTAAAATCTCCTCTATTATTTAATAAATTTTTAATATTATTAAACTAGAATAAGATAGTCACTGATATTTTGAAACTTAAAAACAAAACAAAATTACTTGTATACAATATGTTGGAAATAAAAAATTTAAGAAAATAAAATTCAAAAAAATATCTAGAATATGTCGTAAAATATATGAAACGTGCATCATAAAAATACCAATTTTTATTCTACCGATAACGAACCATCGAAAATGACCGTAGAATTAATTTAATAGCCATGGTGGAAGAACTAGGAAACAAGTCTAATGTGTTACAATCACACGAATGGAATGTAATATGTGAACGTGTACATATTGGATGCGCCATGCGCCACAGTGTGAGCATGAATAAGTCTCAATGCGTTTTCTCGCGTCGAGATCGTTATCACCCGCGGTTTTATTCCGGCCCTAGACAAACCGACATAAATTGAATGTTTCGAGATTGGTGAGAGGAGGGATAGCGCTCGATTGGTAGCCACTTCGTTATGGAGAAACAGACGAAATTAATGGCAATAACGGCGTAATAACTGAATCCCGCTACCGAGGGTGAGTTTCACTGCCGATTGACAATTCAAAAGGGATGAAATTATGAAATTATTTGCAGATAATCATCGTTGTAATTGATTATAATGTAAGATGGTAATTAAACCTTTAATTCGATCGATAAATCGTGTTTTGAGAAATTACAAATTTCATTACGCATTCCACGTTACGTTTGTGCTTATTTAATCGTTCGTTTTAATTAAATTTACTCGAGATTGTTCGTACATACAGTCAGCCACAAAAGTCTTCATCCATCGTTTAATGAAAATCTAAATAAATATATATATATATAGAGCATAATAATAGGTTGTATAAATAATTTATTTTTTAATGGAAAATCTCTTTGAAATCAATCTTCGAATTTTTCTCACTTTTTATACAATCTGTTCTGAAAATACTTTTACAATAAATGCAATATAATAAAAGTAAATTTAAATTAATTTAACACAATTTATTAACCGATTTCTGTGACTGGCTCTATGTTGTCATCGAGCGAATTACTCATTTTTAACAAGCATGCACGTTAACAAAACTATTTCATCATGAACCCAATATCGTTCAATTTATAATAAATATTACGCACGATCGATCAACGTCCCCATCAACGATATTCTTATATCAATATTCTTATACGGAAGACCACAATTCGTAAGAGGTGAACTAACATGCAAACGATTTGGAAGCCCCCGATTAATAGATGAATGGGAACAGACTATTCTAAATTAGCAGTGATTAATGCCTGTCGAGGAGTACTTACGTTTGCAGGCCTTACGATGTTGGATCGGTCTGGCCGGATCCCTGTAGTAACCTTCCCGACAATAGTGACAGTGTCTTCCTGCCGTAAAATGCCGGCACTGCAGACAAACGCCTCCGCTGACACGTCCCGACAGCTTGTACAGTTCCATGTTGAATCTGCACTTTCTTGCGTGGAGATTGCAATTGCATTCTGAAACAAATACATTGGCCCGATTATTCGGCCAATTCTCCACTCGTTTTTCGATCGAGTCGAAAATATTGAATTGTTGATCGCATTATGACTGGTTGAAGTGGATTATTAATCTAAGTAAGTGGTCGTATAAGGATCGTTTTGCCAGGTATAGTGAGTCTGTGAGAAGGATTTTTGAAAAATTTAAAGAATAATAAAAATAGAAAATTGGCTTGAAATTTGTCATGAAAATAAAAATTTCAGATCTGTCGAGTCTATCTTCATATCTATAATAACTATAACGCTTTATTATTATGTACATGTGTTAATCTATACAAATTTACTTATAATTAACGTAGATTAACCCAATAATTAATATTTATTTAATAACAGAATATATTCTAGAATACTTATAATTCTTTTTATATATTAAAACATAAAAATTAATTTATAAATATATATCTTAATTGTGTTATTGAATATATCAAATTTTTCTTTAACATTTTCTTTAACACATAAATAAATGTCTAAATGCAACTGTATATTAGTGATATTTGTATATTTGATATGATTATTTGATAATTTAAATTATTGAATTAAAGCTTCATTGTATGTTTTGTATACATTTGAATTTATAAATTTTAAATTCAGAAATAACAATTGAAGTTAGATATATCGAAAATTAGTCAAATCAAAATTGAATATCGATTCAAATAAAGGGAAGATATAAAAATGAGAGAGAGAAATACAAAATATAATTCTTCTTCTTTTTTTAAAGACATAAAGAAAAATAAACAATGTGTCAAAACGTCACTTTAAACGAATGAAATTTATAGTTATCTCTGGAATTAACTTGGAGAATATTTCTCAATCCAATGGGATTTGGATATTTAGTTTCGTATAATTGCACGATATATCTGCACAAACGAAATTTGTAGAATTAATCGATTGGAACAATTGAAAATAGAATTAAAATAAATGGATATTATATGTCGTTGAAATTATTTTTGTAATACGCAAAGTAAGTTGCGAAAAAATAGAAAGAGAAAGTGGATTTTTTCGAACATTTTTCCCATCTACATCAAGCATTAACAATGGTTTACAAGTTATCTAGGTTAGAATATAAGGTATAGTCACCTTTTAAATGAAATCAATACGTTAGTTACATTTTGCTTTGTGAAATGTGAACAAATGTTCCACGCATTCTCTCTCTCAGTTGAGAAATAAAAATATTTAACAAAAAATTCTCCATTGTGAAAAATTATAAACAAATAATTGAGAAAATAATATATTTGTTATTGTAATAACAAAATAAGTTGATTCAAAATTTAAAAAAATTTTTAAAATTGGAATATCACTTACTAATACATAAACTTCTAAGATATTAATTAAAATAATAGATGCATATAAATATTTTTTAAACAAAGTTCATATTTTTTTTTATATAATTATATAATTAAAGATACACGGCAAAATATTTTACGTAAAAAAATAGAGGAAAAAGAACATCGCATATCTCTAAAGATATGATTTTATTCCTTCATTTTATTTGTACAAGATAGTTTTAGTGATATTAAATGCAAAAAAAAAAAGAATGTTTGAAATAAATTTCATTAAATTCGTTTGAAATTATTCGAATAACAAAAAATATAGTGTATAATATCATTGCATTTAAAAAAATGGAAAAGAAGATTTTTCGAATTTCAAGATATACTATCAAAAATTTATTGCATTTATATTGTTAGATCATTAAATTTTGGAAAAATAATATTATTCCTTTTATTTTCTCATTAAAACGTGTTTAAAATTTTGGAACGATACAATGTCATACGAAAATACCAATTATTTTATTCAAGATATTTGTTAACAATTAAATAAAAACCCTCCATTTTCTACTAATTAAAAAAAAATTTCTCATTTCCTAAAAATTACAACTTCATCAACATTTTTCATCTTTAAAATCTTTGAAACAAAAAGAAAGCACTTCAATATATACATTTTCCTCTAACGCGTTTCAATCCCTACGAGAAAACAAAAAAACTTGAAATGTCGTTCACGATAATGTCATCGCGTCATCCCCCGAGAAGTTAACTTAATTGAGGGAGAATTTTTACGGCATTTATCACGGTAATGAGTTTCGAGTGCATCCATTCGAAACAGCGTTGAACACCGTCTTGTCTTCTTTCCGCGATGACAGTTTTCCCCTACTTCCGCTTTGCCCGCCTTCCGTTTTCCCTCTTCGCCCCGGAAAGGTGGCAACCCGGTGTCGTATCGAGGGCTGAACCATCGTCCATTGAATTCTCGAGAACCGAAGAAGAAGAAGAAGAAGAAGAAGAAGAAGAAGAAGCAGAAGAAGAATCTCGAGAGGAATCGTGCCGTAACTTCCTCTACTCGAGCACGCCGTTCTTCTTCGTGACTTCTTGAAAATAACGGAATAATTGAAAGGCAGCAATCGGACGGCATGGAGGCGAGAACGAGTATGAGGATCGGTATGGAACTATGCAATTTTAACGACCTCTTCTCGCTCTATATTCGTGTGTACGCGATCACTCGACCCAATAATCCATTCGAGGCCGAAGCGGATCCTGTTTTAGACGCGATCGCCACGCATCCTGTTCTCTTAACTCGTTCTCTTCGCGTTAACGTTTTCGATACCGAAATAGATTTTTACGGTCGTGAAATGGATTCTCGGTTCCAGTTCTGGTTACGAGCTGAGAGAAGTGTTCGACGTGTTTTACGAGCGGGTTGATAAATAGATAGATAGCGGGGGAGAAAAGTATTGTCGTTATTTGTAATTGTGTCATGGAAATTCTGTTTTCGTGAATGAAACTTAATGTAGTGTATAGAATGTAATGGGTTATTAATATGAGAAGGTGTGCGTATTAATATATTTGGAGGGTGAAAATGTGAAATGAAGATTTATAAACAGACTGTGGATTTTTATTCAAAATATTTTCATAAAATTTATTATTTTTATTTTATGTAATTAATTATATATACGATTCGTTAATTATATGTAAAAGAAGAAAGAATCTTTTACAAGATGGAATTTATTGTGTTTCTATTTCTAATTTTATTTAGAATATTCGATTACGAATTGCATAAAAATTCTTTAGAGTCCTCTGATATGTTACAATGTAATAAGAACTATATTTAACTTGGTAATAAAAATGTTCCAAAATAACAGCAATGTTGTTTAGAGCTTAAAGGATTAAAATTAAATAGCTCAAAGGTATTCAATGCTTTCTAAATTATTTATTATAATACATTTGCATTTCCAAATTGAATTAACGTTCAATTTATGTAATATTGATAATATAAATAATAGATTATTTAAAGATATTAAAATATTATTTTCAGAAAGAGTAAAGATCTTTCTTTCTAATACAAACAAACAAGATTACAAATATTAATAGTATAAATTGAGAATTCAATTTACATTGAAAACAATATGTACATGGCTGGAAACGTTCAATATAGCTTACATAGTTAGACGATTAAGTTATATTAATTTCTATATTTATCATTTACATAAAAAAATATATTAAATCATAAAAACGTTCAAAAATAAATCTCATTATACATAATCTTTTTTAAATATATGAATACTTTCTTAATTGCAACATATATTTAATGTTATAAAAGAAGTTAAAAAAAACCTGTAATATACTTCATCAAGTTTCATGTATTTATTTTTAAATAATTGCATCAGAGAATATATTTAATCAGCATTCAATATCTTTTCAATAAAAATATAAAGTTAATTAAAATTTTCTTTTCATCAATATATATCTACCATATAACTAGTCTTGCATTCTGATTATTAATTCTTCCTTTTTTTACATGATTACTTTTAGAAACTCTTAATTATTTAAGGAATTTAAAAAAATCAAGTTGTACATAATGTAATAACTACCGTTACATTGGATTATATTATCTATTGAATAGATACATATCTGTTATAAAATTAATAACAAACATAATATGTAATATAACATTATTATTGTTACATATTATATTAATATCATTTAAACTTGTCATATATTTCTTACTCATGGTAAAAAATAACAAATTTAATTCATCAATTGATATCATTAAATATCACTTTGCCTAAATAAATTTTTGAAAATAGCACGCTTTTAAAAACTATTCATAAATTTCTTATTGTTAATTCTTGGATTTATTTATTGCAATATATCATAATAATATAACATTCATCCACATATTTACTATTGAATATTTTTCACCAATTCTAATTTTTTTATGCTTTTGCAACGTTATATAATTACAAACATCATCTCAATATTATACTTCTTCTTCTTCTTCTTCTTTCTTTCCTTTCAACTTGTTCAAACTTTCTCAAACTTTTCCATGCATCGTCAACAAATATCGCCACGCAACAACAGAACGAAGATCACGAGAAACAGCACAGAAAAACCGAAATCCAATGATTCGACGATACATTACCCCTCACCAGAGGGATAAGGGGTTATAGTCGTTAAATTCACGTGGAATGTGGCGTGTCGGATCGATCGAATAACGATCTCGATAGTTAATAACCTTGTTCAGCCACCGTCTGAAATTTCTTGATCGATTCCTGTTATTAAGCTGTGGCTGGCCACGCTAAGGGCCCGGCTTGTTTTCGTGGAGGCAATCGCTGTAATTAACGATTAACCGTCGTATAATCGATGCTCCACGTCTTCTGGATTTTCCTCCTCTCCTCGAAACCCTCCCTCGGCGGGGTTATACTCTCGGCCTCGTTAAGATTTATCGCGCACCCCCGAGGAGGAAAAGATTTACAAGGAAGGAAGGGACTTCGATTCTTTCGTTTCTCCCGCTCCTCCTTGTGTTATTGCCCGCGAAACGTTAAGCTTAAGGCTATTAACAGGATTTGTCTTAGGATTTTAATAGAATGTTCGGATTGGAATTTTTCTTTTTATTCGAGATTGAAACGAAGAGTAATCGTTCTAATAATTATTTATGATATTTAATGTTGTTTTTAATGGTGTGGGGCTTGGCTG